GGTGTGTTTTACTTTTTAAAAGTTTCAAATGTGATATTTTTCATGTGATATGAAAGATATAAGTGGTATAATGTAAAAAAGAAGGTTTGAGTGTTAGATATGTAAATACATAGGAATTTTACAGTAGATATGTAAATGACCCAATAAGAAAATGTTATGTATTGATAGCTAGTTTAGCATGCGCACCTCCAAATTTGGACCAAGAGAGGGACTCGTTGGGTCAGCCGACAGTAATGCTTCTTCACAAAGCTTTATGGCTTTATGCAAGTCTGTTAAGTGGCCCCATTTAGGCTGCCTAATTATACCTACACAACACAGACAGTGATAAAAGACTTTCAAACAGAACCATATCTGATGAAATATCAATAATTGAAAACGGTAAATTAATATAGATCCAAACAGTAATTGTTTTCAATCTAAAAATTAAGGGGCCATTCGGGATCAATTTTATTTTTTGGCTTTTGTTTTTTATTTATCTTTTTTGTTTTTATTTTGTTTTTGTAAGTTTCGATTTGAAACAAAACATGTTTGGTGTGTTAAAATAAAATAAGATTGTATTTTAAAACACTCAAAATATGTAAAAGTTGTTTTAAGTATTTTCAAAAACATGTTAATTTATTTTTTTAAAACAATAAAAACATCTTAAAAATACACTAAACAAACATGTTTTTAAATACAAAGAGAAAAAATAAAAAGTAAAAATAAAAGCGATCCTAAACAAGACCAAAGTATCTTTGACTACAGTTATGAACTTCCCATCATTACTGTAGTTGTAAAATTAGTTACACCATAGGAAGATTCGGTGGAATGTTTAGGATCATTTAATCGCCAGCATTTTTTAATTTAATATCTTCATTTTCATGTTTTATTTGTTTTACAGAAAATTGCTTTGAACTCTGCCATTTATCAACACCCTGTTTGTACTTTAATGTTGAGTAAAATATGAGAAAGTAGAGCCATGCTTGAAATTGAAAATTTTGATTTTCTTCCCCCTCAACTTTATGGATGATAAAAATACCCAAAGGTTGAAATTCCATTAAAATTTGAGTTAAATTGAAATAGATTCAAAAATGCTTCAGTTAAGTTTTGAGTCGGGCTCGGGTCCTATAACTCAAACAACAACAATAAAATCAACAAGCCTTTATCCTGCCAAGTGGGGTTGGCTACCTGAGTCTTTTTTCTCCATTATGTCCTATTGAGTGTCATATTTTCATTTAATTCTAACAAATTAAGATCATTTTAATACAATATGTCCACGTATTTTTAGGTCTACTCTTTTTAGGTCTACCTCTGTCTTTCTTAACATAAGTCGAATCTAAAACATCTACTTGCCTCCTTTCTTAACATAAGTCGAATCTAAAACATCTAATTGCC